TTTATCTTACCTATATATATCATTGTCTCTCTCTCTCTCTCTCTCTATATATATATATATATATATATATATATAATTCTGCTCATATATATCTGTCTACATCAATTTCTTTATATATCTACTATCTTTCTCTCTCTCTCTCTCTCTCTCTCTATATATATATATATATATATATATATATATATATATATATATATATATATATATTAAATACATATATATCATAGCTGGACACTCGTATTCGAGGATACCCGTCTACCTGGGGGGTGGGTAGACAATCCCAATTGCAGACGCCTGCCGTGTGCTTTATACTGCAACTATGTTGAGCAGACCTTATTTACAGTTTCTGGGAAAGAGCGTGTTATCTAACGTGATCACAAATTTGAACGAGGTCAGCACGCTCAAGCCCTCAGCCACGATGACTTCTGTCTTCGTGCTAGCACAGCTATGCCAAGAGTTCCGTCTACCCAATTTCACTCACAGGTCTTGGGTCAACCCGTGATATGGTTTTCAGGCGCTTCCCAAAGGTGCCGAAGGCTGGGATCGACCTCGATCCAGTCTGATAACATCAGAAAGTCCCTTCCTGACAAATGTCTATGGTGAGATTCAAACCCGAGTCTCATGATCAGAAAGCGAACGTTCTAACCACTATATATATATATATATATATATATATATATATATATATATATATATATACAGGGTGTATCAAAATACTTTTGCAAATATTGGGGGTGAGTTCCTAACACCTAGATGCCGCTGTGTTTTCTTCTAGACTAGGTTACATTTGTCATTCGTGTACATTTGTGGCTAATCTGTTTTCAGTGTGTAACGTTTGTGGTAGTAAGTTAACTGAGAAGTGTTTCGTTTAACAATGACAGAATATTCATACTCCAAGTAGGCAGATATTATTTTTACATACAGCCGCGCAAATGAAATTGGACGTGAGGCTTCACGGTTGTATTAGATTACTTTTCCAGACTGAAGGCGGGCAAATCATTCACAGCAGCTGTTTATCTTTGCGTGGCTGAGACAGTATCCGTGGCACCACAAACTATGGATCGAGGAAGACCAAGATATGCCAGACGACGAAAAACACATTCTACAGGCTGTCGGAGATGGTCCAGGTATCAGCACACGTCAAGTAGTCCTAGAATATCGTACACCTCATAGTACTGCGTGGAGAGTACTTCAAAAGCATCTGCTGTACCCGTATCATTTGCAACGTGTGCAGGGTCTTTCGCCCTTTGATCACTCACCACAAGAGAACCTTTTCAGGTGATTTATTGCACAAACTACCGATCCGTTGTTTGTCTCTTCAGTCTTGTTTACGGATGAGGCAATATTTGGAACAGATGAAATAACAACTTGATACAACCATCAGAATCGCCAGAGTACAATACAGGCTAGACACCAGCATCAGTTTACGATTAATATGTGGGCTGGAATTGTAAATGACTGACTTGTAGGTCTATATGTTCTCCCAGCACGTCTTGCAGGTACTGTCTACACGGACTATTTCGAACACACTTCCAAACCTGCTAGGGGATGTACTCCTGCTAATACGAAAACGCATGTGTTTCGTGCATGATGTGGCTCCAGCACAATTTAGTCACATTGTTCGCGATGCACTGGCTGACATCTACCATGAAAAATGCATACGTAGGAGGGGACCGCATGCACGTTCCCCCAAACTCAATCCGTTGGATTTTTATCTGTGGGGCCGCTTAAAATAATTGATTTATGATGCAGACATTAATAATGCAGAGACATTTCATCAAAGTGTCATGAGGGCGTGCAAAACCATTCGACACCGTGTGGAAGTATTTGAAAGGATCCGCCAGTCAATGATCCGACGAGTGCATTCGTGTCTAAAAGCAAGTGTAGGACATTTTGAACATTTCTTATGGGGTACAGTGTTGAGGTACAGCAATGACCTTTTGGACATATGTTTATATGGATTTTTCATGTGAGGAACCTGCCCCAAAAGTTGTCAAAGTATTTCTGATTCCGAAGACTTGCTGGTCAAATTTTAATCCTGGCCTGTAACGCGAAATCCCCATTCTGCAATCGTAATGATAACACCTACATCCAAAGTAATGGCGTCAACATGGGAAAACCATCAGGTCCTGCCTTCTCTAACTTTTACATGTCACATATTAAATTCAAAGTGTTTGAAAAAACTGACAAGCCACAAATCTACACAAGATACGTTGATGTCATTTTGTTTTGATAAAACATAAGGACGAATTTAGAAATCTATAATCAATTTTTCAAAAATCTCCTCAGTAAGATTTGCATACGAACTCAGTAACAAAATCCCATTCATTGACGCCCGTATAAAATAAAAAACATCGACACGAACTCTTGTCTTCGAAACTACGATAGTCAATGCCCGGAAAGATATAAAAAAGCAGATAAAAAAAAATACTTCCTAAATAGCGCACACTGAAACTCCACTTCCCAAGGAATATTTCTGAGGGAACTAAAACCTAAAATAAACATTAGTCAACAATCCTTTTCCCAATTACATCATTGATAAACAAATAAAATTATTCTTACAATAAATACATGACACCAGTAATAAAAAATACCACACAACAAAACATCAACATATTTTACTTCAACCAGATGCACAATAATTATAAGCAGGACAAATTTACTATACGAATTAAACACCGTAATTCCTGAAAAACATGTATGTATGTAAAACTTTTAAATTACAGAAAATGGAAAAGCGCAAACCTCGTTGCCACTAATCAAAATATGCCCATGAAGTCTGAACTAGCGGTGACCAATATAGTGTACAAAATTTCATTGCCTAGTACAAGACTGTGTTTCTTGTCATAAATCAATTACCTATATCGGACATACCACCACCTCCTTGAGTGGACGTTTCACGTGCTACTTATTAGATCAAAGTGCTATTAAAAAAAGCACTTAACCACCCACAATTTACAACGACCTTTCAGGAATATTCTGGTTGAAAACAGAAGCATTTTATATAAGTCACATTACCGAAAACATCTCGCTGTAAGAGAGGCACTTTATATAAAATATCCGGCATCCAGTATAAATCTCACCTTATTAAGCAGAAGAAATGGTGAGTTGAAGGGTTTTTAAAAAATAGAAAGACGCTCATTCGAATTCCAGCCGTCCATACTAGTATTCAAAAAAGACAAAAATACATATTAAACAGTGAAACGTGAAAATAAATTAACAACACCTAAAAACAAAAAAAAACCGCTTGAATATTGTCAAAAAGTGGCCGAAAGTGCTATGGGCAATAGAAAAAACGAACAATTTCTGCATTCCCTTACTCCCACCAAATGGAAAAATGCAAAAATGTTGGAAAAACTAAATAAAAAATTATTCAAATTCTTTCAATAAAACATGTTTAAAAAGAAAGATTACTACCCTTATATATATATATATATATATATATATATATATATATATATATATATATATATATATATATAGAATATTTCAGTTTATACTTCTCTCTCTCTCTCTCTATATATATATATATATATATATATGTGTATGTGTGTGTGTGTGTGTGTGTGTGCGTGCGTAATTCTTTTTCATAACTATCTAATTCTATTCATATCGATCTATCGATCCTATATATCTCAATCTTTTCATATCTATTTATCTATCACAGTCATACCTATTTACCTATTTATTTGTATATCTCGTTCTACTCATATCTATCCGTCTATGTGTATATCATATTTTGTTTGATCTGCATATCGATCATTCCGTGCCTATAAGACTATCTATGCATTCCGCACATATATATATATCTATTTATCTCATTCTATTACTATCTAGCCATATATATATATATATAATTCTGTTCACATTTCTCTCTATATATGTGTGTGTGTTTATGTGTGAACGCAATAAACCCGTTCTTCCTGTTCATAACTATCTATATAATTCTATTCATATCTATCTGTTTATCTATCTGTCTGTCTGTATATCACATTCTGTCCATAGATATTTGTATATCAGTTATTCTGTTAATATCTGTTTGTCTAACCATTCTGTAGATACATATCTATCTAGCTAGCTAGATATCTAGGTAGCTGTCTATCTAGCTAGATATCTATCTATCTATCTATCTCAATCTGTTCCTATCTATCTATCTATCTATCTATCTATCTATCTATCTATCTCAATCTATCCCTATCTATCTATCTATCTATCTATCTATCTATCTATCTATCTCAATCTGTCCCTATCTATCTATCTATCTATCTATCTATCTCAATCTGTTCCTATCTATCTATCTATCTATCTATCTATCTATTTCAATCTGTCCCTATCTATCTATCTATCTATCTATCTATCTATCTATCTATCTGTTCCTATCTATCTATCTATCTATCTATCTATCTCAATCTGTCCCTATCTATCTATCTATCTATCTATCTATCTATCTATCTCAATCTGTCCCTATCTATCTATCTATCTATCTATCTATCTATCTCAGTCTGTTCATATGAATCTCTCTATAACAATTTTAGGTTCTTTGTCTGGTTCAACAGCAAATGGTCACATTTATGAGTCGTCTTGGTTTTGAAGCAGTTGAATGCCATCGGCTTTACAGTAGTTTTCTGTTGCATACATTCACGTTAACTCAATATTGTGCAACTCCTGCTTTGCTCGGTAGGAGGCAGTTTACATTCTAGCGGAGCCCGACGTTCCTACCAACCGACTGTCTGCAGCTCTGTTCTTTTTCTGAAAGAGTCCATTCACAAATACGATGAGCAAGTTCACAAATCGATGCCGACACGTTCGTTTCGTTTCAGCGCAGAAGCTTTTATAGCGCCAAACCAATTCCAATGTTTGCATCGACAGGCAGCATTAGCAGAGAAAAAAAGAGAAAGAGTAACAGACATGCTTCTCCTATTTTGGTTGGCGTTCCGTTCCAAAAAAAATAAATAAATATTTAAATAAAACACACCGACGATTCTGTCACATGCATTCTTCTAGATAGGTATGCGAGAAAGGGAAATGGAGAGAAGTGTGAGTGCATGAGCGATAAAGAGAGTGGTGAAAGGACAGGCAGACATAGTGAAAAAGTGAGTGGTGGAAAGAAAGACCGAACAAGAGTGAAAGAAAGAAAGAAAAAATAAAGAAAGAAAGAAAAAAGAAAGAAAGAAAGAAAGAAAGAAAGAAAGAAAGAAAGAAAGAAAGAAAGAAAGAAACAGACAGAAGAGATGTACAAAGAAAGGCACAGATATATATACTGGATGTAACAGCTAAATTGTCCAAATCCTGTAACAGCATAATTGTCCATACCACAAAATGTTTAATATCTAAAAAAAAAAAATACTAATTTTCTTTTTTCCAAGACGTTTAGCCATCTTGATACCATTTGTCATAAGAATCATTGAAAAACTATTTGAGTTATTCAGCTAGAAACAGAACAGATTAAAATTGTGTGTCAGTCCCACCTTCTTCCCAAATGAGCAATGGTGAGAGGAAAAAATCATTCCAGCCTTCAGTAATGGTACCAACATTCATACACTGGCATCCATCTTCAAAGTCCATTCAAGAACCAACAAGAGGACGGTGAATAAGTTTAAAAAAAGGGAACAGTAGGGAAGAAAACTGGATCAGGGGTTCACAACCGGAAGTAGGATAGTCATTTCAACTTAGAGCTAAAGAGATCAATTAGAAAAAAATACAATTCAATCCATAAGACGTTTAGGACATTTAGAGAGGAGTTTCAGCTATGACAGTCCAAAGTGCAGTGAAAAGAACGTGAAAATGAAATCATAAGTGAAAAGTTTAAGGCACCTTGTTACTCCAGGACAGAAAGTTAAAAGGTTATAGAGGGCGAAGATCATCTTGAATAAGTTAGAAAATGCTCCTGGAATAATATATGAATGAGCTCCCGATTCTTAGCTATGATTAATTAATAATGGGCATGTCATTTTTGTTTATGATCGAGTTCATCACGATTCTTCTGTTAAGCTTGGAGAGTAATTATACATTCTTATGGCTCAAAGTAGAGTCCAGTAGTGCTGTAAGAGAATTTCAGTGGAATAGTTTTAATCATTTCTAAGATACAACGGTTCAAAGCTTAATCAAACAATTCGATCATTTTACACTCAATATATATATATATATATATATATATATATATATATATATATATATATATATATATATTGCTGAATATACATAATATTCAACAGCGATAGCGCGGCTCGGAGTTTCATGCTGTTCTTGCAATCTTCTGGTGCGGAATATATTCTGACCGTTATGGAGTTCGCGTTCTCGTGGTGATGATTCCAAATTGTGCGCTAAAACTTGTTTATTTAATTATTGTTGCCTAAAATATTAGAATTAATTATTAATAATTTATATCATTCAAATTCCTAAGGTCGAAAGATGGAGAATTAAAAAAAAAGTATGAAAATTTATTTAAATTTAAAAGTAAACAATATACGTTACATTTGACCTTAGTAAGGGTATGTCTAAACCATACACTAAAGATTTATACAGCCACAAGTACCTCGACAGAATATCCAACCACCATAAAAGGATACTTGACAATTTGCACAAATCGATACAATATAGGTCATCGATCAACTCCAGTAACAAAGAAATATTCGACAATAATAACGCTAGACATAACAAAACGCTGGAACAAAGCAACCGTAATGTGAAATGGGAATATGTAGTAAGAAACAAAAACCAAAATAAAACATAAATTTAAAAAAAAAACGTAACATAATATAGTTCAACCGTCGTCCATATCACAGTAATGTCAAAATCAGTGTAGTTAGAATTTTCTTGAATTGAATTCACATACACTTTGGTCATTCTCCAACATTAAAAAAAATTTTCAACAAAAATAATATTCAGGTAATCTATAGCTGCACAAAAAAAAAACATAGATAATTATATATCCCAACATAACAACAGCAAGCTCCCAAACAAAACACTGAATAATAATCCTGCTAAAAGTCAATGCAACTGCCGTAAAAATGTAACCTGCCCATTAAATGGCCAGTGCATAACTGAAGACATAATATACAGAGCTAGGATCAATTCAGATGATGATGTTAAATATTGCTTTGGATTCACCGAAAACAGCTGGAAATCGCGTTTTTACCACCGCAAAATGACATCAAAAATAAAAGTGTTGTGCAGTTTTTGTATCAAATACAAAAACTGCACAACACTCTTAAAGTATGTTTGGCGATTAAAAATCAACCATAAGAAATCAACCATTAGCTGAGAGATAATCGCGAAAGCTACGCTATAAAATGAAAAGGGAGATAGATGTATTTTGCGTTTGTTGGAGAAGCTTATTATACTAAAACACGTAAATAACCCTAACTTTCTGAATACGAGATTCGAATTGATGTCAACATGTATCCATAATCCCAAGCACTTGTTCAAACACATTAACCCAGATTAAAAGAGATTACAAAATAGATTTTACGAATATTAATATAATATGCAACAATTATTAATATTCTTAGAACCGCTTAATAAAAACAATTCTTATATATCTATACACACATATAATTCAATATTACTGTACTCGATTAATTTATAACGTGTACCTATATGATTTCACCTTTATAGATATAAGGTTTGGTTTCAAAAACATTAAATATATAGTCCCAATCTATTATTTTTATTTATATTATATTTACACCCTGAGTACTAGTTTAAGTTAATTGGTGTAACTGTGGTATTTTATGCAAAAAGAGAGTTATCTCCCTTGATATCTTGTTTAATTTTAAATTTAAATAATTTTTATATTTCTTAAATTCTTCTTTAAGAATTTGAATGATATAAATTATTAATAAGTCTAATATTTTAGTCAACAATAATTAAAAAAACGAGGTTTAACACAAAATTTTGAATCATCAGCACGAGAATGTCAACTACATAACGGTCAGAATATGTTCCGCACCTGAAGATTGCAGAAACTGCATGAAACATTGAGTCGTGCTATCGACGTTGGATATTATGCATATTCACCAATATATACTTCTAGCTCTGTTTCATAATAGTGAGCACTCTACTTATTACCAGAGAAAGAAATATATTTATACGTACGTGCGAGTATTTGTGCGTGTATGTAGATTTTTTAACCTACTCATTCCTATATATATATATATATATATATATATATATAGAGAGAGAGAGAGAGAGAGAGAGAGAGAGAGAGAGAGAGAGAGGAGAGAGAGAGTAGAAATGAGACAGCAGAGTTACAGACCAGGAAAGAGGGAGAGTTGGAAATAGAGAGTGAGTGGGACGAGAGAGTGGGGCTTTCTTTCGAAAAACAGGATGAATTGAGAAAGAGAAAGTGATGGAAAAGGCAGAGACAGAGAGAGTAATGTAAAGAAAGACGGGGAGAGTGAAAGAGAAATAATGGTGTAAACAAAGAGAACGTGAGGGAAAAAGAATTTTAGAAAGAAAGAAAGAGAGAGAAAGAGAAATTGGTGGCGAGAAAGACAGAGAGAAAGAGAGAGAGAGAGTGAAAGAGTGTTATAGAGTAGTTTCACAGTGGAGGCTTGTATTTCACTAAGTCGGTCCTAAAATAGGTTCGACGTACAAAACGTTAGAAACTTGATATAAGAGTTAATGACGCAGCAATCTAGTTGTGGTGGCTGATACTTTAATATCCGACCAACGGTCGTCCGACATCGACTGACTGACCAACTCACTCAGCGACTGCTACTACTACTTCTACTTATTATAGGTGGGAAAGTCTATTAACTATAGAATAGCTGTGTTCCACTATAACAAAGAGAGAATCAGAGAACTAGGTGAAGAGAAAGAAAAGAAAAGTGAGAGAGAAAAAATGGGAAAATACAGTGAAAGAATTAGAAAAAACAGTACTGAAAAGAAAGAAAGAAAGAGAGAAAGAGTGAGAAAGAGTGAATGATTGAAAGAAAGAGAGAGAGTAAGGTAAAAGGAATCTTGGAAAGAAAGACAGTGAAAAAGTGAAAAGAGAGAGTAAGGGAAAGTAAGACAGAAAGAGTAAAAGTGATAAAAGATACAGGGAGATAAAGAGGGGTAGAGAGAAATAGAGTAAGAAATCGGTGAAAAGAAAGAATGAGAAAATGAGCAAGAGAGAATAGTAGAAGAGATAGAGTGAGTAAAATAGTGAGTGGTGGAAAGAAAGACAGAAAGAGAATGTAGAGAGAGTGTGTATTGGAAAAAAAAACAATGAGTGATAGGAAATGAAGGTATAAAAAAAACGCGGGTTTGTGAGAAAGGAAATCTGCAAAACTGATTGACGTAAAGACTGATTACACGTCTATTTTGAAGAGAACGGCGTTCTGTAGACGCTCTTGTCCGCGAAAGTCGTGAGGAAAACGAGGTACTGTAGTACCTCGCTGAGCACTACCCCGTTTAGTTACAGCACTCATTTCCAAGTTTTGTAATACTAAATTTAGTAATAGGTCTGATGCTAGGAAATTTGGTTCGCTGTGTCGTGTTAGACAGTTTTTCTCGCCAGAATCCATCTTACATATTTATAAGTCTAACATTCAATCCCAGCTTTGAACATTGCTGTCACATCTGGTCTGGTACTCCTGCTATCTATATTTAGAGATTCTTGATAAAAATCCAAAGAACCGTTCTCAGACAAGGGGGAAATTCCGACAGAAATTGTCCAAAGTTTATTTCAGAAGAAAAGTAGGAGAAATAGGGTCCAAACTTCCGATTTTCTTAAAACATCTTCAGGGTAGCTATAGACAGTTGGTGAGTTTCGCAGAACTAGTGATGTGGCATAGACAAAGACGCAAGGTGTGATGTGTGTGGGCGTGTGTGTAATTTTATATACATTTGACGATACGGTCTCCCAAGCTATAATTGTTTTGTTTTGTTTTATTTATTGGCGGAAGAGAATATTCTTCAAGGATCATAAGTCTATTTTTATTTTATTTTATTTTATGGGGGGGGCATTTTTTTTTTTTTGGTGGGGTTTTTTTTTTTTCTTTTTTTTTTTGGGGGGTTATTTTTTTTTTCTTTGTGCGAAGCTGTTTAATATTAGTACGATTCTTATACTTCTTATTAACGGGTGGACTGATGGCACGCCACTCTTTGGCTACGTCACAACACTCACTAATTTTGCGAAACTCGCCAATTGTCTCTACCTACCCTGATGATGACTTAAGAAAATCGAAAGCTTGGAGCATATTTCTTGTACTTTTCTTCCGAAAAGAACTCCAGACAATTTCTGAGAGAATCTCTTCCTTGTCTGAAAAGTATTATTCGCAATTTGGAAAAGTCAATAAAAAAAAATAAACACAAAATGCCTGTCGTTTTTAATAATATTTGCCTTAAAGAACATTTGGTACAGAAATAAGCGGAATATATATATATATGTCAATATGTTTCTATCTTTCTTTATTCTAGATATCTATCAATCTGTTCACATCTATCTCTATATCTGTTTGGCTATATATATATATATATATATATATATATATATATATATATATATAATAACATTAAAAAATAACAAGATCAGTTGAATTCGCTACCTTGGTTTAAACCTTACGGTACCCTCAGGCGATTTTTATCAAATGACCTATTTACACCATTTTTTTTTTTAAACTAATAAACGCTATATAATTTTTTTAAAGTAAATAAATAAACGCACGACGTCGGGTGTAATAGAGAGAAGAAGAAGAAGAAGAAGAAGAAGAAGAAGAAGAAGAAGAAGAAGAAGAAGAAGAATTATAGATGTATCGGTGGGAGTTAATTGAAATATAATTTTTTTATGTAGCCTCATATGTGCTTTAGAGGAAGTTCGTAATATGTAAGCAAGGACTCAAGACTATATAAGTGGATATTGAAGTTAACACACGGAGGCGAGACTCTGTTTCATGCTAAACGCAACCGTCATGTGCGTTGTGTTTTTGCTCGACTATTTATATATACAGGTCAGAGATGCATTGTGGGTAGTCTACTCTCTTATTCTAACGATCATTTTAACAGTCGTTAACCGTTTCGAATTTATCTACCGCTATTGAATGGGAAAAAATACTGGATTCGAATCCAGTTTTTTCACGATTTATATTGTTGTTAGTTAATTTATTATCAATTTTTATTGTTGTTTATTATTACTACGTTTTCTTTTCTTTATATGTGCGTACGTGGTTTGCTAACTTGTTTATTATTTACTTAGTTTGCTTATTTATTTTTTTGGATTAATTTATTTTACTTGTTTTTGTTTATTTATTTTATTTTATTAATTTGCTTTCGTTTAGTTTTATTCGTTTTCAGTTTTCGATTTCAAGTAACATAGTAAAAATTTTGGGATTAGTTCTGATCGTTTATTTAGTAATTTGTTTTGGACTGGAAAGGTAATTATAGCTATTTTTCCTCCAAGCATAGGCTATAGTTTTTTGATTGATGTTGTTTTCCTTATTTTCCATGATATTATTGCTGTGATTTAGTTTTTGCTTTTAATCTCCCAGATATATTTAGAAAGCATTGTGCTGTTCGCGTATGTACTGTTTGTAAAGGATGTTTTGTGTGCCTACTTTCTTACTTTCTAGGGTCCTTCAGTTATCCCATGTATATTTTTTCATCGATATCTGATGATTTTACAGTGGCTTGTTATATTACATTGTTCTGCAAGCAATTGCCATTTAAGGGACAATCCCACACAATAGCCTCTAGAATAATTCGAAACCTTTACCACCAACCAAAGTAACTGTTAGAATAATACAATAGACTACTCACAATGCAATACAATTGACTACGCATAATGCGTCACTGACCTGTATATATAAATAGTCGAGCAAAAAAGCAAAGCACATGGTATAACGAATGCTTTTAGCATGAAAGAGACTGTCACCTCTGCGTGTTAACTTCAATTTCCACTTTTATATATACATACGCTGTATCCTGATATTGAGCACTTTTGACCCATAAATATAGTATACCTACATTTGACTTTGACTACAGCACATATATATATATATATATATATATATATATATATATATATATATATATATATATATAAAGTGAACATAAAGTCAACACTTAGAGGCGACAGTCTGTTTCATGCTAGATGCCATCCTCTGGCCTGACGATTGCGTCTAGCATGATACAGACTGTCGCCTCCCAGCGTTGACTATATGTTCACTTTACATTTACACACGCTCTATCTCTGAAATTGAGCAATTTATCCCATAAATATCTCTTACGACTATATTTCTTCATCTTCATATATATATATATATATATATATATATATATATAAAGTTCGTGCCTGATTTTCATTGTGTTTAATTTTTAATCCAAGCAGGAACTTTATCAATGATCTAATATATATATATATATATATATATATATATATATATATATATATATATATATACATGTGTGTGTGTGTGAAGTCCAGTGTCAAAGATTGTTACGTTATTACACTCCTCTAATGTGCAACAAAACAGAACGCATAAAATTATATTTCTTATTCCTAATACGAAAACCTAACCATTTACCTCTATTCAAATATCTGTGTCCACATTGATCAACATACATAAAACGTATTTTTGCAGGCCAGTATTACTATGGATATTGTAATATATGATGTAATGCTACCAGCAGAGATTTTACAAGTGCATAAATGTATGAACGATGCAACAGGCTGAACAAGAAAGCAGGTCATATATAGATGCAATCAGAGTAGGTATTGCAGTTTGTTTTTCAAGCAAAGATCGTGTTGCTGAGAGCGTTCGAAAATGAATAGCCAGCTTTGATACGGTGATCAACATTTGAATGACATTTCGTTTTCTTTTTTGGGGAGGGGGTACTTGGACGCAACTTAAAAGTCGCGAATCGAAGGCTACTTCATTAATTGTTAAGTAGGTGTTTGTAGACTGACAGATAGATAGATAGATAGATAGATAGATAGATAGATAGATAGATAGATAGATAGATAGATAGATAGATAGATAGATATTGAATATATTATGATAGATAGATAGATAGATAGATAGATAGATAGATAGATATTGAATATATTTTGATAGATAGATAGATAGATAGATAGATAGATAGATAGATAGATAGATATGAGGTTGGTGCAAAAATAATGACGTGATGAGGTCGTTTTTTAACGTTGAAAATACGTCCAAAAACGACATTATTACGTCATTATTTTTGCACCAACCTAATAGATATTGAATATATTAAGATAGATAGATAGATAGATAGATAGATAGATAGATAGATAGATAGATAGATATTGAATATATTATGATAGATAGATAGATAGATAGATAGATAGATAGATAGATAGATAGATAGATAGATAGATAGATATTGAATATATTATGATAGATAGATAGATAGATAGATAGATAGATAGATAGATAGATAGATAGATAGATAGATAGATAATCTAAAAATCTATTACGCATACTTTCATTGCCATTCTGTATTAGATTTCGAGAAAGTGAAAAAAGAGAAAAAGTTGAAAAAATACACAGGCAGGGCATTGATATGTAAAGGACAAAATATGCCATCAATGTTCCTAGGTTCCCATGAAATATAACTTTCCTGTTTTCTTATTGTTAAAAGATAATTTTAAGAAAAGATTAAGCATTCCCAGCAACAAAAAAAAATGGATTTGTCACAGACAGCCACGTTTTTGTCTGAATTCTAACGCACTCTTCTGTGTTGGCTACCAGCCAGCTGAGCAAGTTGTCTCCCTGCCTCTTTATAGAGACTGCTTCAGTGAGGCAGGTTACCCTGAATTCAATCACAAATATCTAACAGCCTCACCACGTACATTTATACATAAACAACATCAATACAGATGAGGTGCGGAGATAGGGGCAATAAAATGAAGGAAAGTCCTTAACAATTAGCGCGTGTGTGTGTGTAAAGAAAATATTTAAATATTACGCCAGATTCAAGAGAAAAAGTACATTTCGATTCTTGTAAAATATCTAGTATTCCAATATATATATATATATATATATATATATATATATATATATATATATATATATATATCCTCAAGGATATTATTCTTATCGACCAAAATCATAAAATTAGCAACTGGGTTACTGCTTTTATATATTAAACTTACAGAGCAGATTAAGCGCTACAAAAAGATTATCAAAATTTCATAAAATTAAATAAATATGTTGTGAGGTGGCGTTAACAGGTGTAAAAATATATATATATATATATTTGCCAAATTTTTCTAAAAAAAAAAACATTTAAAAAAAGTTTCATTCATTCATGAATAAGTCGTGAAGGTTTCATTAAAATCCGATAATTATCTGAATTTTGGAAGAATTTCCAAATCAATGTGATTTTCACCAGAGAAAGAAACTATAATTTTCTAAACTAATTTATGGTCACTTGTTGACGCAAGAAAAAAAATTACCAAAATTTTCAAGTTTCTGAAAAGGATTAAAAAAGTATAATTTAATAATAAAAAAAAATTCTTTGGGCTTTCCTTGTAATAATAACCTAAAGAATTTGACGATAAAACTTGTATTTTTAATTAAGTTTTGGGCATTTTTTCATCATGTATGATCATTTTTTATCAAATCCTTGAAGGTACCCATATATATATATATATATATATATATATATATATATATATATATATATATATATATATATATATATATATATATATTGGTGGTTGTAAAAAAGTAAAAAAAAAATTTTCTCTTGTCTTTATATATATATATTGTGTGTGTATTTAGGCAGCATCTTTTCATTCATATACGTTTCATTAAATAATATAAAAATATGGATCAATATTGTGAATTTCTTTCTTCGTTCAACGATGTTATTAAAATTATCAGACGTTATGAAATAAAATTGCATAAAATAAATAGACAAGGCTTGTCAATATTATTTAAATATATATATATATATAAATACATACATACATAAATATACGTATACATACTTATATATATATATATATATATATATATATATATATATATATATATATTAAAAATATAGTTTTAAGCTATGCTATATCTATGGGTTAAAGTGCTCATTATCAAGGATAGAATGTATGCAAAAATAAAAGTGGACATTGGAGTCTCTAAATTGTTGACTTCAATGTCCATTTATATATATATATATATATATATATATATATATATATACTATATTTCTTCATATATATATGTATATATACTATATTTCTTCATATATATATATATATATATATATATATATTTCTTCATATATATATATATATATATATATATATATATATGAAGAAATATAGTTTTAAGGTATGTACTATATTTATGAGATAAAGTGCTCATTATCAGAGATAGAGCGTATGTAAATATAAAAGTAAACATTGAAGTCAACACTCAGAGGCGACAGGCTGTTTCATGCTAGACGCAATCATCAGGCCAGATGATTGAATCTAGCATGAAACATCCTGTCGCCACTGAGTTTTGACTTATGTTCACTTTTATATATATATATATATATATATATTATCAATGCAAATGTTACATTTAATGGGTACATATGTTTGAGTAGACATCGGTGTCATTTTAAGCAATACAGTTAATGTAAACCGGTCTAGAAATAATGAGGTTGTGCTGAAAAAATATGCCTTCCGACGGAGAAGGTCATTGGGATTTGTTTTATCATGATGACTTCCTGTGGCCTAATTGGTAATGCTTACTTGACTGAGAAAGTAAATACAGGTTCGTTTTCTGTCTGGAGATAGATTTTCTCCTGGGGGATAGGTGCTGTATGCATAGTGCCCCCAACCACACACACACACACACACTCACACCACACACGCCGGAGATTAAAAATAATAGCAAAAATATGCTTTTTGTCATGGGACTTACCTGTGTGACCACTGGTACTGAATGCGACGCAAGTTCATGTTTAAAGTGGAAGTTCACGAATATTTGGCCCTGGGTAAATATGGGACCAGTTCCCTCGATATTTTTCCTTTTGGGGACGCCCCAGGCACCGGGTAATGACCGTCACCCTCTCCCAAGAGAAATGTTTTGCGTACCCTTCTCGGGACTGAGTTACATTAGTAACTGTAAAACTCGCAAAAATGCGAGTTTTGTAATTATGTATTCGCCCACTTCGTACAAAAATGTGGCACAAGGTCAAGTTTTCAATGGAACCCTCTGCGGCCACGGACCAAAAATTGCCACTGCTCCTTTGGGGACGCCTCAAGTACAAATAATGACCCTAACTCTCTCTTGAAGGAGGGGCAAAACCTGGGATGACGCCGCACTGTGGCTTGAGCTTATTTAATAAATATGGTTTATACCTGGCTTGATTTGGGGCCCAATGAGTGAAACAATGGAAGATTTAGCTAAAAATTGCCATATAGAATTATTAACATCTGCTCCAACAACGGAACTCAAATGAAATATCGAGTGAAACTATATGGAATTAAAAAAACTTTAGAATAATATTCATCATTTATTAAATAAGTATCAAGAGCTTTATTAAAATCCAATAATTGCTTTTATTTTCTTTTTTGATACGCTTTTAAAATCAGTTTTTCTTTTCCTAAAAATTGAAACAAACTCTCCTCCGACTACTTCTTCTTCTTGGCTTATGGCCATATCACGTTGAAACACCGGTTCTTGTACGATCACCGAAGTTAAGCAACGTCGAGCGTGGTCAGTACCTTGATGGTTGAACGCTTGGTAATAGCAGGTGCTCTTGGATGTGCGCGTAGTGTAATGATTAACGCCTGGCAATCGAAAATCGGAGAGATGAGTTTATAAATACCCGTCGGTTTCGTTATATGCACTTGGGAAAGGCATGAATCCAACTCTTCTCCTCCCAGCTATGGGTTAATTGGTAAGATTTATATCAGGAAATCATTATTATCTCTAAAATATTCTTACAATCTAAAAGTATTTTCTAGCTTTAAATAACCTGCAAAGGTTGACAAGCCGTAAAAAACAAATTAATCTTCTTCTTATTATTATTATTATTATAACAACTTCGCAAATTACTACTTTTTCAAATGTCTACGATTGTGGTAAATCTAGATGTATAATAAAGTGTGTTCCAATAACTTAGACTGATTTTAATGTGAATTAAGTTTAAGCGTCTAATGATTTTTTTCTTTTTTTTCCAGATTTGGCGGACATTTGAGCGATATTATTTTTCACACATAATTGCCATGACTTAAATAACATGATTCAATAGAGAAATAAATAGACTTTGATCCGGCTTAATGAAACCCCCTTATATATAATCCTTCTTAATGAAACACCCTTTGTTTACATCAGGATATCTCCAATTCTTCAAATATATTTATCAAACAAGATTGCAGGTATTAAGTAAATTTTCTACATACGGAACAAACAATGAGGTATTTGTATGGCAGAGAATGCTGGACAATCTCCTCAAGGATGAAGAAGGGACTTGAATCAACAGAAATGCGGTTCTACAGAAAGATGCTGAGGATACCATGGACCGAACATGTGAGCAACGACGAGGTTTTGAACAGAGGGGAAACGGAGAGAAAACATACTTAACATCAGGAAGGTGTAACTGAAATTTCTGGGACACGTAATGAGGAAAGAGGGCTTGGAAAATCTGATACTCACAAGACGTATAGAGGGAAAGGGAAGACAGGGGAAAGAAACGCGTGACATACTTGACTGGATTTCGCAAATGGATGTCGGAACAGAGTCTGAGAGAAATAACTAAAAGGCAAAACTTATTAAAACTTACAACGGACAGGAAGGAGTGGAGGGCCATGATCGCCTAAGTCCTGAAGAGACACGGCACATATAAGAAGAACCCGCTGCGGTATTCCAGCCTTGCTTCTTCTTTTATGTGCATACATACAGACGGAAATACTTAAATGGCGTGAGACTGTAACATATCTATCTATCTATCTATCTATCTATCTATATATATATATATATATATATATATATATATATATATATATATATATATATATATATATATATATATATTAAGAAGAAGATAAGCCGTAAACGTTTTTGGTTAAAATGTGGATTATTTATTTTAAAATATATATAATACTCCATTTTCCATAATTCTGCTACACAGGTTTCTGGTTTCGTGACCTTCTTCAAGCAAAGAGTAGATATTTCCACATATTAAAAAAATGAATTGTTCGCGTGGTAATGATTCAAATGTCATTCTTTTTGTCGATTCTTTGCTTGAAGAAGGTGGCGAATCCAGAAACACATGCAGCAGATTGCGGTTTATCTTCTTTTTAAAGGATACACTTTTTCTCGTTGGAACAACTATAACCTCTTCCTTATATATATATATATATATATATATATATATATATATATATATAGTACAGGTAATCGATCCGTAATCGTTGGCATATAATCCGGGTGGATCGTAGTGATATTAATTATTAAATATATATATATATATATATATATATATATATATATATATATATATATATATATATATATATATATATAATGGCAATAAGTTACTATACAGTTATTTTTACAATAAGAATTAAGAAAAAGTAATTAATGAACAGTCCAGAAATTTATTATTAAATGGTTCTGAATTAATTTCGGTTAATAAGAATAAAATATTATGTCAAACAATAATAAATTAGTTACCCGATACTCTTCAATTGCAAGCCACCTGCTTCAATGCTTTGCTTTTGTTAAATAACTGTATATAGTGACTTTATTGCCACTATATATATATATATATATATATATATATATATATATATATATATATATATATATATATATATACTCAAATCTCAAGTGTATCGAACATAATATTGATATGGCAAAAAGAAAATGCAAAAAAAAGCGTGTCATGTGTCAGTAGATACAACATTTGTATCAAGAAAACGAAAGCGTTAGCAAACTAATGGGAGAGATGAGGAGAAAGATCGAATGGAGTGAAAAATATCTGATGTGCTGCCTGGGTAACAATTTGGTTGTCAGTCCCACAATTCCGTTGTTTTTTTATTCTTTTCACATTCAGTCATATTGTACTTCTCTCTTTATCTATCACACACACACACACACACACACACACACGTCAGCAACAGGTCTTCGTCCTCGTTCCCCAACCTCTTCCTCGACTGCTGCTGCTGCTGATCTTTCTTCCCTTCAAAGCCACTGCATGTAACAACGCGTTCATTTAAAATACCTTCTCTGTGTCACTCTAACCGCTGCGTTCGCGTAAGACTCAGAACGAGGCGAATCTCGTTTCACGTTGACGTGAGTATCAAAGTCTCGTCGATCAACGCCGCGCTTTCTGCACTTCCATTGTAGGTGTTAGGAGGAAAAGAAGCAACTCCAGTGTTCCCATTCCGCATTTAGTAAGATATTTAGTCCCAATCTTTCAACATGTTCTTCAATTCTAAATTTCCTTTGTTGAGCATTAAGCATTAGACACCAGATAATTAAACATTTCTACATACACTACATCAAGTGTGCGGAGTGATCAACGGTTCTCGGAATGAGAAATCGGTTATCCGGTTTCGAATTCCAGCCGATTTCGTTGCGATCACTTTCTCGCAAATACCTCTGTATAAGGTATGAATCCATCTCCTCTGGCTGCAGTTATTGCTTAAATAGTAGGGTAGAGTGGACTCTCTAGTCGCGGTTGGCAACGAGACTGCGTTTTGCAAACTTCCAATAGCACTTTAGAATAAATTTCTTCAAACCCTATATATATATATATATATATATATATATATATATATATATCAAGTGCGCAGGTATGCAGAAAATAAAAAAGAACACGTTGGGGGCATAATCCGGTGTTCCTTAGTATTTTTGTTTTATTTTTAAGAAGACAGTGCTCCATACATAAGTAGAGGCTTTATTATAATAATATTTTTGTTTAAAAATATGATTCCTTCGCTACATACGAGTTCTCATGTTTCAAAAACGAGAGCCGAAAAGAATACCAAAAGATAGCTTATTCCTAAAATTTCGCTTGAAGATGAAACGATACTAAACACCTCAATTCAACTTAATTTTAATAATTATTTGGATGATTTCGGCTCTCGTTTTTTAAACATGTAGCAAAGGAATCATATTTTTTAAACAAAAAATATTATTATATATATATATATATATATATATATATATATATGGGAATGAGTAGGTTAAAAACCTACATACACGCACAAATACTCGCACGTACGTATAAATATATTTCTTTCTCTGGTAATAAGTAGAGTGCTCACTATTATGAAACAGAGCTAGAAGTATATATTGGTGAATATGCATAATATCCAACGTCGATAGCACGACTCAATGTTTCATGCAGTTTCTGCAATCTTCAGGTGCGGAACATATTCTGACCGTTATGTAGTTGACATTCTCGTGCTGATGATTCAAAATTTTGTGTTAAACGTTGTTTTTTTTTTAATTATTCTTTGCTAAAATATTAGACTTATTAATAATTTATATCATTCAAATTCTTAAAGAATTTAAAAAATATACAAATTATTTAAATTTAAGATTAAACAAGATATCAAGGGGGATAATTCTCTTTTTGCATAAAATACCACAGTTACACCAATTAACTTAAACTAGTACATAATATCCAACGTCGATAGCACGACTCAATGTTTCATGCAGTTTCTGTAATCTTCTGGTGTGGAACATATTCTGACCGTTATGTAGTTGATGTTCTCGTGGTGATTCAAAATTTTGTGTTAAACCTTGTTTATTTAATTATTGTTGACTAAAATATTAGACTTATCAATAATTTATTAAATCTCAAAAAAAAATAAAAAAAATCAATGAGTTATCAGCTATTAAATGGTAAGCCGCGTGGGTGGATCCGTTTGAAACTCGCTCCTGAGTTGTCTTTGCTCTTCATCTGCATTTTCAAACTTCCAGTAGCATAATACTCATTATTCCTCGTGGTTATTTTTCAGCCTGCCCACATTACTACCGAATATGACGCAAGGTCGAGGTTCAGAGTTGGTTTAACGACAAAACCGTGGAAAAATCGCCCCCAAATGGTTTAGATCTGAAAAGGAATTAAATTTAAGCTGTAACCATATGTATACATTTTTCGTAACATAAAAAAGGTAATAAAAATGAATAGGCATATATTACCCAACTTTAATATATTTGCTCGGACGCAGGTGGTGTATTTTGATATAAGAATAACAATGGCTAAGAAAAAGAAAATATACAACCTTTCAAACATACAATACAAAAGGAAATGTTAAGAATTAGTAAATACGATCAAAGTATTCAAACAAGTTGATGTAGCAATTGTATGTAGAAAACAGAGGAGAATAAGTTGAGGTTGTTAGGAAGATATATCGCGTTGCATTCTTGAAGTACGAGACATGAGGTCATATCAAAAAGTATAGGGACTCGGTGCTGACGCAGAATTAAACCGCTTGGCTCAGATAAATCTTGAACCAAGTTAAGCATGCGCACTAAGTTGTAGCGTTCTTGCTTGCTTCCGTTGCCCATAGCAGTGCTTGGAAGGAAAGTGTGTAGAGTGTGGTCGTGTCAGCGCATCACAGTGGTTCTATCAGTGACCATGGCTTGCGCAGCAATCTTGGGCCCAGCACAACATTCTCCACATCCGACAACCACTATGTTTCCCAAAACTGATTCTTTGCGACTTTTTTCTTTTTTCAAACATCAAAACCGACTTGAAAGGAACAAGATATCAAGACATCAAGACGTACCAGGATTGC